TGTCCGCCGTCTACAGCAAGCAAGGAAACTTCTCCCAGGTGGGTCCATTACCATGGCAACAGATCAGCTTATGTTAGATGCTGCCGCTGGGTCCTTCCAGCCGCTGGGTCCTCCTTTCAGCCTGTTTCCTCCTTCCAGCCGCTGGTTCCTCCTTCCAGCCGCTGGGTCCTCCTTCCAGATTTTGGTTTCTCCTTCCAGCTGCTGGTTCCTCCTTCCAGCCGCTGGGTCCTCCTTCCAGCCGCTGGTTCCTCCTTCCAGCCACTGATTCCTCCTTCCAGATGCTGGTTCCTCCTTCCAGATGCTGGTTCCTCCTTCCAGCCGATGGGTCCTCCTTCCAGATGCTGGTTCCTCCTTCCAGCCGCTGGTTTCTCCTTCCAGGTGCTGATTCCTCCTTCCAGCCCCTGGGTCCTCCTTCCAGATGCTGGTTCCTCCTTCCAGCCCCTGGGTCCTCCTTCCAGATGCTGGTTCCTCCTTCCAGATGTAAATCCAGGCTCGCTGGATTTCCAGGGAGATTACCAGTAAATCCAGGAGGTGCTAACTGGACCTCTGCAGGTCTTCATGGTGCCAGGTGTCTATGTGACTCCTTCTCTGTGTTCTTCAGGCTCTGGAGGCTCTGGACCGGGCCCTGCAGCAGAACCCCAGTGATCCCACAGTGAAGGCAGAGCTGCATTTCTCTAAAGGAAACCAGCTGAGGGAGATGAACCAGCTGGATGAAGCCTTTGAGGTAAATTTCCTTCAGGGTTTATAGCTTTTTATGGTGGGCTTCCATCCAGGGTTAGCTTTGCTCCAACCACTGATGAGTATGAAACGCAGCAGTCCCAGTGACCCTGCAGCAATCCAGGGGTCAGAGTGCTTCTCTGGTTCTGGTCAACAACGCCGCAGCTGATCCTCCTTACTGAGCTCCCAGCTCCACCAGCTTCTCCTGCAGGAGAACTGAAGCTGATCTTCAGCGGAGCTTCCTGCTCCTGGAGCTCAGGCTGCGTCTGATCTAGGAGGCCATGCTGACTGACGGCTGCTGAAGCTGATCTCCATCAGATTAGTGACGTTGGTGGACAGCCTGATGGTGATGA